TTTAGCCACACTGTGCTCATTAATGGTCAAACCAGTCCCATTTCCTGGAGTCACCAGTTGCCTACTCTACTGTCAACGAGAACCCACCAGGAACCTGGTCTGGAGGGGCTTGCTGGGGGAATGCTTGAGGAAGCTGCAGGAAGAGGTGGAGTTGAGCAGGCTTTGCACCAGTCTCAGGCAGGCACTGGGGTTGCTGGAGCCTGTGATGTTGAAGAACTCCTCGGGGCCGGCGACGTCCGACGTGTCGGCGCAAGGCCCGGTGTGCACCGACTGCCACTGCACTTCCTGGGAGTAGGAGAGGGGCCAGCAGGGGTTAGACACCGTGGTGGCACTTCTCTGATCCTAGGGGCAGAACAGAACAAGGCCAGAGGCAGTGAGAGGGGAGATTGGGAGGGGAGACAAAAGGTGGGGCGGTGAAGGACGGTTTCCCTCTGGCACCGCCGTGGTGTAACCGAGCGGGCAGGCTGCTGAAGCTGTGCCAGACCTCATCTCTGGGAGTCCACTGGAAGGCCCAGGCTGATGCAGCAGGCTCCCAGCTCCTGCAGAGTTCAGGGCAAGCTGCAGTGTCTGCACCTGCTGCAGGAGGCTGGGGTGTCCCAGCTCTACCTGCTCCCCCTTAGACCAGAAATCCAATTTCAATGAAGCCCGTACTCCTAGTTGCAGGAAAGGCTGTTCTGGTCTGCCTTGCAAATGGCTCAGCCCCTCATGAATCAGTGCTTCTTAGCTCTAGGAATTCCCCAAAATAACCATGGTGAGGCAGGGCTCTGTGTGGGACATTCAGGTCTCACATGAGGGGAGATGAGGTTTGTAAGGAGGCAAGAGTATGAACAGCGAGTGGTTAATTTCTGAAAACATTGGTTCTGGTGGAGACCAAAATGATTCCTGAGTTTGCATCAGATCCTGGGCCCTTCCAAGTGAACTAAAGTTTGGAAGAACCAAACCCTTTGCATGTTTTTGAAATGAAATGTTGGTCTTTTAAAGGTGCTTCAGGGTTAAAGTCAGCAAAGGAAGTGAAAGGTCCCAGGTGCTGTTGCTTGGGCTCCCCTTCCAGGGTGGAGGAGCAGTTCAGGGGAGCCAAGGGAAGTCTTTGACTCTTTTCACCCTCAAGCTGATCTTTAGCACCTCTGGATGGCAATTTTGTGCTCATGTGTATTAAGCAAGGAGCCAAACAGAGCCTGCAAGTGCCTGTGTGTCTGCTTGGAGGGCATTGATCTGGACATGGAGAATCACGGAATCATTAGGGTTGGGATAGACCTCTGAGACCATCAAGTCCAACCATCAACCCAACACTACCATGACCACCAAACCATGTCCCAGAGGGCCATGTCCATATGTTTTTTGAACCCCTCCAGGGCTGGGGACTCCAGCACCTCCCTGGGCAGCCTGGGCCAATGCCTCACCACTCTGCCAGGAGAGAAATTCTTCCTAAGATCCAACTGAAACCTCCCCTGGTGCAACTTCAGCCCATTGCCTCTCGTCCTATCCCTGGTTACTTGGGAGAAGAGACCAGTGGGTGCATTTTACAAATGCACTAGGCTTTTTTTACACATAAGCACATGCCCTCTGTTAAAGCTGGTGATTCAGTTTGCCCATTAGCAGTGTGCTGTGTGCAGGGAGCCCGTGGGTGCCCTGTGGCAGGTACTCACGCGAAGGAGCCCGGCGAGCAGCCTGCTGCGGAGCTGCTCCCTTCCATGGCAGGGGCAGTGGTGAGTGTGCACCTCGTGTGTCTGCCCGTACAGCTGCAGCCTCACTCCTTCTTCTGGTGCCTCCTTCTTGTCTTCCACCCTGGAGGTGAGCTCCGTTGAGGTTGCTCCCACGGACAGGACTCCTGCCACCCCCTTCCCAGAGGGGACCAACTGTCCTCGCCAGTCGTACTGACCCAAAAAGAACCAGAGAGGTCAGTTTGTAAGGTGCCTGCACTGGGTCACAGAGTGATGCAAGCAGTAGTGCACAGAGAGAAAAAAGCAGCTTTCTGGTGTGGTACAGCCCAAATTTTTTGTTTGCCCACAGGATGCTGAACTGGTGGCTTTGGAGGGATCAGAGGAGCCATTGTACAAGCAATGCCATCTGTGCAGAGAGCTGCCCGTGGCCCCAGCTCAGACAGGCTCACCATCCTGGGGGGCTGCTCCAGGCAGTGGGCTGAGCAGGTAGGAGCAGGGGATAGAGGAGAGAGGGGGTGCTGGTGGGGAAGGGGAGGGAGGTTTCCTGGTGGGCAGGTATGGGCTTCATGTGCTGCTGCGGGACTCAGGTGATCCTCCTGTCAGAAGAGCCCTGTGGTTTCATCTCCTGCAGCCTTGCAGAGCTGATTTTGGCAGTGCTGAAGCTAGCAGTGCAGGCAGGGAGGTTTAGGGGGGTGGCAGTGCTCTGTCCCTGCCTGGGGGAGGCTGTGCTGCTGTGGCAGAGCTGGCAAGCCCCTAACCTGTGTGTGCTCATCAGAACTGCCTCTCACTTCCCTGGTGTGGAGTAACTCAGTCTAACCCACCTTTCTCTTGCCCTTTGAGTTTTAGCTGAGACCCTTTAGCTTGAGGAGCTGTGGGCAGAGCAAGGAAACTTTAACATATTCTTTTTAATGGCTTCTTTCTGAACACAGACACCCAGCTGTGCTCTCATGAGCATCTCAATGAGAGGAAATTTGGTGGGCTTTTGCTTTGGCAGCAAAAGACTCTGCTTGTCCATCCACCATCCATGGGATGTCCCATGGGACAGCTGGACCCCAGCTCTCTTTGACAGTGGTGCTGAGCCAGAGCTGCAGAGACCTGGGGCAGTGGAGATCTTGCTGACACCCCAGGGCTGGGCTAAGGTCATCTTTGTGGGCATCCTGGATGTGTTGTCCAGAAAGTCTCCCATCTGTTAGGACAACTGCAGGACCATGTCCATATAGACATTAGAGCTTTGGTCCTTCAGCCTTGTTATAACCATCTCACACTATGTCCCCCAGCCAGCTGGTGGTGGATAGAACCTGCTGCTTCTGAAAGGCAGTGGAAATTGTGCCCAAGCACTGTTTAAACTACAGGGCTTAGGATCATAGAATTGTTCTGGTTGGAAAAGACCTTCAAGACTGAGTCCAGCTGTTAACCCAGCACTGCCAGGTCACCACTGCTTTAACAGTCCCTCCCCATCTCTGGGGCTGTTTAACAGGAGCTGCTCAGCTCAGTTCTCTACTCCCTGGGCAGGATTGTCCTTTACCTTGAAGAAGTTCTCCAGGACATAGTTAACAGCAATCCAATTGAATGCTTCTTTATCTGGACTGGACAGGAGTTTTGCCCCCTGAAAGTTGAAGGGGGATGACTTCAGGGCCGCAGTCAGGGCTTCAAGGAGCCTGTCAGAGAGGATGGGATGGGTGAGGTTGAACAGAAAAGAAAAAGAAGGCACATTTGTGGTTACAGGACCCTGCCAGGAGCAGCCTGTGTTGGGGGATGGCTGCAGGGCTTCTGCTGTGCTCCCCACCCTGGGCAGTAGCCCTGAGGAACAATGACAATCCCACTCCTGCTGCTGCTTCTCTCTCCCCTCACAGCAGTGTGGGCAAGAACAGCAGAGGGATGATTTGAGCAGTTGTGCCACCATTCAAGAATTTGGGAGTTTAGTCCCCTCTGCCACTGGGGAAGTCCTGTGGCCTTGCCCCACTGGCCTGGTCCCCTCCAGATTTTACTCTCCCTCAGTGTCTAATAGGAGATAAAGGTCCCAGTGATGAGGTGACAATGAGAACAGGGTCCACAGAAGTCTGTATGGTAAGGTGGATCTTCCCAGACTGTCATCCTTGTGGCTGCTTGGGGGGGACGATACAGAGACCCAGCCATGCTGTACTCCCTTGGAGTACTTTGGGACCTGAGGCAGGTTTACCTGACTAGCAGGTTAGGGATGAAGCCCACTGCAGAGCAGACAGGGTGAGGTGCATGTACAGAGTGATCCCCAGGACGTGTGCTGGTCTCTGGGTGTGGGGCTGCAAGGTTCACTCACTTCGGCCGCTTCGTGCTGGTGGTCACTCCCAGGTACAGGGGGGTTTGGCTGTGCTGCTCTGCTGGGATCTCCTTCTGGGCCCAGTTCAGACATGGCTCCAAGCTCTTCCCTAATGAATCTGAGTAGATGGAGATTCCTGGACCAGAGGCAAAGAATGATGTTTTCTAAGGCAAGGTGTGGGAGAAGTGTGAGAGGCGTTACCCCAGAGGGTGCTGTCCTAGGGCATGGTCAGACAGGACCTGTCCCAGGTGGGGTTCCTCCAGGTGCCCATCCTGCTAAAGGATGGTATGGGGAGCAAAGCACATGTGCATCCCCAAATCCCAAATCGCCCTAAGAGAGGCCTGGCTCTGCTGCTGAGACATCCTGTAGATGGCCACCTATCAGCCATGTGGCTGCTGGCCCACGGAGGAAGAAATGTGGCTTTAGCCACTGCAAAAAGCTAAAGGACACACTGCCATGCAGACAGAGCTGAGGCTGATGCCACAGCTCAGCTGAGACCTCTCTGCTCCAGCCACTTCCTTTTGTATTGGTGGAGGTGTGCCTGCAAGCAAGATAGCTCTGCTCTAGAGGAAGCTGGTGCTGTGCAGAGAGGAGCTGAGTGCAAGCCTTGACTCATCTTTCTAGTGAGATTCAATGGGGTCTTCAGTGCTGGTTGTGAGCTACTACCTAGAAAGAGCCTCACTTCCTCATCCTTCTGCCCACTCATCTTCCTGGCTGCATGGTGCCTCCCTCACCACGTCCTTTGCTCTCCTGAGCCCCGTGGAGGGCTGAGGAGCTACTCAAGGGCTGTGGCTGTGCCCGTGCTGCCTGCAGACAGGACTGCTGCTCTCCTCTGGGTGAGAGACCTGCCTGGACCTCTCGTTGCTGCTGCTGACAAACTGCTGCACCGAGCTGCAGTTGCTGTTTTTACCCCAGGCAGTGAATGTGGCAGCTCTGAAGGGACACATATGAGACACCAAGAGACAGGGAAGGAAAACCCTAAGCATTAATGCATCAGACCCTTTCAGCTGGCTTTGGCAGGGCCAAACTAATTCAAACTAGCAATGAAGACCCAAATATGCTCCAAAACATGACATTGAAACTCAAGTTGAACTTGTGCTGTCAAACCCCACCTAGGGTGTTGGAGTCTTTGCACCTCTGCTGGCCTGGAGCTACAGCACTACCTGCCTGGAGCACAGTCAGGAGGAGGCACGAGATACCAGGAGCCACCCTGCAGCCAGATTTGTCTCCACTGCTGTTCACTGTCTCACCTGGGTAAGAAGCTCAGCAACCTCAGCTCTGCCACTGGTCCACGTGGGCACCAGGATGAGCCCCCTCCTCTCTGTGTGCTTCCCTACCTGCAGCAGGCCACAAAACCTGCCACCTGCTACTGCCAAGTGCTCTGATGTCCAGCTCTGGGTGGCTAAATCTGCCTGTGTCAAGAAGATCCATGCTGAAAATAAGCAGCTTGTGCTTCACTCTCACCACTCTATCAGTGGAGAGATCTCTGCACTCCCATCCATCCCATGCCAGTCCCACAGACCCCCGAGCATCAATGGGGCCCCTTACCTTGCACAGGACAGGAACTGCATTCCCTGATCACCCCGGTCCTGCTCGCCTTGGTGGTGGTCCACTGGTAGATGAAGAAGATGGTGTGGGCTGGGCCAGCATCCAGAACAATGCCATACTGGAAAACCCCAAAAACATTCTGGATAAAGCCCCCTGAATTCATGCTGCTGTGTTCTGGTAGGGTTACTCAGCATTACGTAGGAGTTCTGGGGAACCTGTGGGCCTGCACTGGAGTGTTTGAATTGGCTCTTTACGTTCAGAGAAAGGGTGAAGCCAGATGATGATGTGGATTTGTAGGGAACCATCTGCATTCCTGAATATACATGAGGAACAGCAGGAGTGGGGAAACACCCAAAAATACATCAGACCTACAGTGGCCTGCTCTGTAGCTATTCCTGAAACCTGGCAGAGAGCTTCCACTGAGAGCTGAGCCACCTGGAGCTCAGGAAAAACAGGTCCTGAAGCAGTGGGAGATGGCACTATACAGGCTCCCGACTGATCCTGGGACTCAGACTGCTGCTGGATTCCTTTGCCAAGGCTTTCGTGCAGGAATTGCTCCTATTTTGAAGGAACCTGTGACTCCTACATCTCTTTGGTGACCCAATTTAGAGATGGCGTGACACAGGGTGGGTGTGCCCAGGCATGTGCCAGCCCTGTAGGAGCTGCACAGAGACAATGTCTTGGCAGAAACAGCAGCAGGGAGGAAGATTTCTCCACACCTTGTCCTCTGACATGTCTCCTGTTGCCTCGCAGGGAGGCCAAGGGCTTTCTCAGACTCTTTGCAGCCCAATGTCTCGTTGGTTTGCTGCTGACTAAGCCTCACTGAGCTGCACCTTGTACGTGAGGGTTAGGAAACGAGAGGCCCCTGGGGCACCCTGCAGCACAGCTCTGTGGCTGTTCTGGATGTCCTCACGCTCAAAATAGCCCCGGTGCTAGCCTGGGGTCTCCTCTCCCCACTAACATGACCCCAAACTGGGACATCTCCTATGCAGATGGGAAGGAAACTCGTGAGATGTGGGAGGAACGTGGCAGCGCATGGTCTGAGCTCTGTCTTGCACAGAAATAGTTGTAGCTGTGCCTAAGTGGGAAGGAGAAACCTCCTGAGAGGTTGATGTTAGCCCCGTTGGAAGGGCAGAGCACGAGGCAGAGCCTGGCTGCCTTCCTGGGAGCTCCCAGCTGCCCCAGACCCGGTGCCTGGGCTGGGAGCTGGTGGGACTGGAGCTAGAAATGCGGAAGGAGGATGGAGCTCCCTGCCCGAGCCTGCTGGCATCCTCCCACATGAGTGACAGCTCATATTTCTCACAGGGACACGTTGGCTGCTGCAGAAGAGGAAGAAGCAAATGGCATTGGTGCAGAAACCTGCATTTTTTTTTTTTCCCCTCGTCACAAAATGAGGCTGCTGCTGGGAGCACAGGGGAGGAAAAGGGATCACAGCGTTTCTGCCCCAGCTCCACACCAGGGAAGGGCAGAGCATGGAGCAATAAGGGTTTTTTTGTAATGCAGTGTTGTTTGAGAGGAGTGTGGAGGAGGGGTAGGACCTCTAAAGGCACATGTTAACCTACTTCTGTTCGATTAAACCACAGCCTGCCACTGCTCTCCCCTCAGCAGCCAGAGGCAGAGCCTGGATGGGCATTAACCCCCTGTCACTGGGCAGAGCTGGCACTGCTGCTCAGAGAGAACTGTGGCTCTCCAGTTAAAGTCAAGAGAGGAAGCAGAGGAGAAGGCATGGAGGGTACAGAAGCAGCATTCCAGGGCCAAATTCCTACCAACTTTCAAGAAGGACCTGGCTCTTTACCTCCACTGGCACCACTGGTCCTTTGCCTCTGCTCAGCCTGTGGTGAGCATCTCTGCTGCTCCACAGCCCATAGCCAGCCTCTGTCTCCCTGAGCAGCCAGAGGGTTGGTTCCAGTTTGAAAAGCTACAGCGTGCTGAAGGATGCCAACCCCTCCTCAGGTGGTTGTTTCGGGCTGGTAGATAACTCAGGGGTGTAATGAACATAAAAAGCAACAAGCCACACCAGTTCCAGTGTCCGGCGTGCAGAAGGAAACGGGCAAGTTCCCCTTCAGCAGCAGCCCCCCAGATGAGGAGAAGTTCCTCTGCCTATTGCCCCATTTGACCCCCTGCTCGGCCGCCCCTGGGGCGGGCAGGTGCCCTTACCTTGGTCCTGAGGGGGGCGACGGGCACGTCTTTGGTGGAGACACAGAGCAGCACGATGCCCGTCAGTCCCGCTGCGATCACCAGCCAGGGGGGAAGGAGCTCACGCCACGACATGGAGCACTTCTCCTTTCACAAAGGCTCCGAGGAGGAAGCAGCAGAGCAGCCAACTGACAGCAGCGGCTTTTTACCACCTTTAAAAAGAGGGGAAAGGCGGGGCCAGGGCCAGGCTCTGGCTTCAGCCCAGCCCCGGGGACCACAGGGAGCGTGTGGGCCAAGGTGTGATGTGTCAGGCGGCTCTCCCATCGCCCCACACAATAGAGAAAGCCACAGCTTGGGGCCCGCCCCACTGCTGGCCTTCAAAGGTAGCCAAGGAACCTCGAAACTGCCCCAGGCGACGGGGTTGAGGTAAACAGAGATGTGGGGTTAACTCAGCTGTGTAATGAGCAAAACTCCTCCGTTTGGTGTTCTGCGCCTGCCAGCGCTGCCTGCCAAAATTAGGAGTGGGGAAACTCCTGGTCACTTGGTTTGGTTTATATCTGAGGGCTTCAGGGTGGACTTGGGGTGCTTCCCCATGAGCTTGTGTCCATCTGCTTCCTTCAGACTGCTCCTGCCTCTTTGTTCACTCTCAGGTGGCACCTGGGACAGGAAAGCATCTGCATGTTTGGGTTTCCATCTGCAGGAGACTGGTTGGTCTCTGCTTTCAGTAGGAGATGGCAGGGGCCATCTGGGTCTTTTGCTCCCCAGAAGGCCAGTCAGCCTGGGTGCCTGTCCATCCCTTCCTAACAGCTTCCCTCTGAAAGGCAACCAACCCTCAAGCTTTCCTAAACACATGCCTGCTTTCTCCTTTCCCCTGCCACATCCCTGAAAACAGAATTTCTGAAGAAAAATATGTTAGTCCCAGGAGAGGTGCTTCTTTCTGGCTGGCCCCATCTGTTTCCTGCTAACTGGGTCTAGGAATAAGAGTGCAACTCCTTGAAATAAATGTTTTTGTGTGAGCTGGACCGTTTATTGCCAAGGCCATCTTGTCCCCACCAGAAAACTTCACCAGGCCTGCCTGTGTCTGCAGAGCCAGAGGGGTGACGACTCCTTGGTCTTGCAGGGGTGTTTGGAGACACATCTCTCCATTTTGGAGCTGTTTTAAGCAAAGTGCCAGAATTCTCTCACCTTCCTGCAGACTTCAGACTCCCTTTCAGATTTGACTGGCCAGCAATGCGGATGTATCTGGTTTGAAACTGAAAGAGGGTAGATTTAGATTGTGTGTGAGGAAGAAATTCTTTTTGTGGTGAGGGTGGTGAGACACTGGAACAGGTTGCACAGAGAAGTTGTGGATGTTTCATCCCTGGAAATGTCCAAGGTCAGGTTAGACAGGGCTTGGAGCAATCTGGTCTAGCAGTAGTTCTCCCTCCCCATGGCAGGGGGCTTGGAGAAGATGATCTTTAAGGTCCTTTCTAACCCAAACCATTCTCTGATTCTTTGTTTTGCTTACGCTTGGGCTGAGAATGCTCTTTGCAAAGGGACAGGGATTAAGGTGCTGGAGTCCTGACAGTCCATCTGCCCAGGAGGGTGTGCAGCCTTCCCCACACCTGGCTGCTGAGCATTTGCCACAAACGGAACAGCTGCCCCAGGCATCCTCCTGTCCCAAAGATCCTGTTGCACGTGGGATGCGTGGAGCAGCTGCTGGTGCTGTGGTGGCTGCCTGGTTGGTCAGGGCAGCTTATACAGGTATCTCAGTGTATCATCAATCTAGAGATACCCAGCAGGTACCGAGGGGCTGCCAGTCCTGCTTGGCTCCCACAGGAACCCCCACTCAGCAGAGTGGGGAGCATCTCAAACCTCATGGAGGGGTTTGTGGCTGGACACAGAGCAGGGACATGAGGGACCCAAGGGCCTTGCAGCAGCTCCTGGCTGGGAATGGGGGGGTGCATTGCTCTGTCATCTGGATGTGGGGGTTCGGGAGGGTCTGTTGACAGATCCAAGTGATTTATTCTCCCTCTGCTCTGCTCTGGTGAGACCCCACCTGGAGCACTGCATCCAGTTCTGGAGCCCCCAGTACAAGAGGGACGT